ATACCTCATTTACAGATTTCCAAACATAAATACTACATTCTGATACCTAGGGTCAGAGGCTACACTCCATTATCTAGAACCATAGAACACAGAACATAGAACATTACAGCGCAGTACAGGCCCTTCGGCCCTCGATGTTGCGCCGACCTGTGAAACCAATCTGAAGCCCATCTAACCTAAACTATTCCATTATCATCCATATGTTTATCCAATGACCATTTAAATGCCCTTAAAGTGGGCAAGTCTACTATTTTTGCAGGCAGGGCATTCCGCGCCCTTACTACTCTCTGAGTAAAGAACCTACCTCTGACATCTGTCCTATATCTATCACCCCTCAATTTAAAGCTATGTCCCCTCGTGCTACCCATCACCATCTGAGGAAAAAGGCTCCCACTGTCCAATCTATCTAATCCTCTGATCATCTTGTATGTCTCTATCAGGTCACCTCTTAACCTTCTTCTCTCTAACGAAAACAGCCTCAAGACCGTCAGCCTTTCCTCATAAGACCTTCCCTCCATACCAGGCAACATCCTGGTAAATCTCCTCTGCACCCTTTCCAATGCTTCCACATCCTTCCTATAATGCGGTGACCAGAACTGTACGCAATACTCCAAGTGCGGCCGCACCAGAGTTTTGTACAGCTGCAACATGACCTCATGGCTCCGAAGCTCAATCCTTCTACCAATAAAACCTAACATACTGTACGCCTTCTTAACAACGCTATCAACCTGGGTGGCAACTTTCAGTGATCTATGCACATGGACACCGAGATCTTTCTGCTCATCCACACTACCAAGAATCTTACCATTAGCCCAGTACTCTGTATTCCTGTTACTCCTTCCAAAGTGAATCACCTCACACTTTTCCGCATTAAACTCCATTTGCCACCTCTCAGCCCAGCTCTGCAGCTTATCTATGTCCCTCTGTAACCTGCAACATCCTTCCACACTATCCACAACTCCACCAACTTTGGTGTCATCCGCAAATTTACTAACCCATCCTTCTACGCCCTCAACCAGGTCATTTATAAAAATGACAAACAGCAGTGGCCCCAAAACAGATCCTTGAGGTACACCACTAGTAACTGAACTCCAGGATGAACATTTCCCATCAACCACCACCCTCTGTCTTCTTACAGCTAGCCAATTTCGGATCCAAACCGCTAAATCACCCTCAATCCCATGCCTCCGTATTTTCTGCAATAGCCTACCATGGGGAACCTTATCAAACGCTTTACTGAAATCCAAATACACCACATCAACCACTTTACCCTCATCTACCTGTTTGGTCACCTTCTCGAAGAACTCAATAAGGTTTGTGAGGCACGACCTACCCTTCACAAAACCGTGTTGACTATCCCTAATCAAATTATTCCTTTCTAGATGATTATAAATCCTATCTCTTATAATCCTTTCCAACACTTTACCCACAACCGAAGTAAGGCTCACTGGTCTATAATTACCAGGGTTGTCTCTACTCCCCTTCTTGAACAAGGGGACAACATTTGCTAGTCTCCAGTCTTGTGGCACTATTCCTGAAGACAATGACGACATAAAGATCAAAGCCAAAGGCTCTGCAATCTCCTCTCCAGCTTCCCAGAGAATCCTAGGATAAATCCCATCCGGCCCAGGGGACTTATCTATTTTCACACCTTCCAGAATTGCTAACACCTCCTCCTTATGAACCTCAATCCCGTCTAGTCTAGTAGACTGTATCTCAGTATTCTCCTCGACTACATTGTCTTTTTCCTGCGTGAATACTGACGAAACATATTCATTTAGCACCTCTCCTATCTCTTCGGACTCCACGCACAACTTCCCACTACTGTTCTTGACCGGCCCCAATCTTACTCTAGTCATTCTTTTATTCCTGACATACCTATAGAAAGCTTTAGGGTTTTCCTTGATCCTACCTGCTAAAGACTTCTCATGTCCCCTCCTGGCTCTTCTTAGCTCTCTCTTTAGGTCCTTCCGGGCTAACTTGTAACTCTCAAGCGCCCTAACTGAGCCTTCACGCCTCATCTCTACCTAAGCCTCCTACTTCCTCTTGACAAGAGATTCAACTTCTTTAGTAAACCACGGTTCCCTCGCTCGACCACTTCCTCCCTGCCTGACAGGTACATACTTCTCAAGGACACACAGTAGCTGTTCCTTGAACAAGCTCCACATTTCAATTGTGCCCAGCCCCTGCAGTTTCCTTCTCCATCCTATGCATCCTAAATCTTGCCTCATCGCCTCATAATTGCCTTTCCCCCAGCTATAACTCTTGTCCTGCGTTATATACTGATCCCTTTCCATCGCTAAAGTAAACGTAACCGAATTGTGGTCACTATCACCAAAGTGCTCACCTGCCTCCAAATCTAACACCTGGCCTGGTTCAATACCCAGTACCAAATCCAATGTGGCCTCGCCTCTTGTTGGCCTATCTACATACTGTGTCAGGAAACCCTCCTGCACACATTGGACAAAAACTGACCCATCTGAAGTACTCGAACTATAGCGTTTCCAGTCAATATTTGGAAAGTTAAAGTCCCCCATAACAACTACCCTGTTACTTTCGCTCCTATCCAGAATCATCTTTGCAATCTTTTCCTCTACATCTCTGGAACTTTTCGGAGGCCTATAGAAAACTCCCAACAGAGTGACCTCTCCTTTCCTGTTTCTAACCTCAGCCCACACTACCTCAGTAGACGAGTTGTCATCAAACGTCCTTTCTGCCACCGTAATACTGTCCTTGACTAACAATGCCACACCTCCCCCTCTTTTACCACCTTCCCTGATCTTACTGAAACATCTAAACCCCGGAACCTGCAACAACCATTCCTGTCCCTGCTCTATCCATGTCTCCGAAATGGCCACAACATCGAAGTCCCAGGTACCAACCCATGCTGCAAGTTCACTCACCTTATTCCGGATGCTCCTGGCATTGAAGTAGATACACTTCAAACCACCTTCCTGACTGCCGGTACACTCCTGCGACCTTGAAACCTTATTTATGACCTCACTACTCTCAACCTCCTGTACACTGGAGCTACAATCCAGGTTCCCATCCCCCTGCTGAATTAGTTTAAACCCTCCCGAACAGCATTAGCAAATTTCCCCCCCAGGATATTGGTACCCCTCTGGTTCAGGTGTAGACCATCCCGTTTGTAGAGGTCCCACCTACCCCAGAATGAGCCCCAATTATCCAGATATCTGAATCCCTCCCTCCTGCACCATCCCTGTAGCCACGTGTTCAACTGCTCTCTCTCCCTATTCCTCGCCTCGCTAGCACGTGGCACGGGTAACAAACCAGAGATAACAACTCTGTTTGTTCTAGCTCTAAGCTTCCACCCTAGCTCCTTGAATTTCTGCCTTATGTCCCCATCCCTTTTCCTACCTATGTCGTTGGTGCCTATGTGGACCACGACTTGGGGCTGCTCCCCCTCCCCCTTAAGGATCCCGAAAACACGATCTGAGACATCATGGACCCTGGCACCTGGGAGGCAACACACCAACCGCGAGTCTCTCTCGTTCCCACAGAATCTCCTATCTGTCCCCCTAACTATGGAGTCCCCAATGACTAATGCTCTCCTCCTCTCCCCCCTTCCCTTCTGAGCAACAGGGACAGAGTCTGTGCCAGAGACCTGTACCCCATGGCTTACCCCTGGTAAGTCGACCCCCCAACAGTATCCAAAACGGTATACTTGTTTTTGAGGGGAATGGCCACAGGGGATCCCTGCACTGTCTGCCTGTTCCCTTTCCGTCCCCTGACTGTAACCCATCTACTTTTTTCCTGTACCTGAGGTGTAACTACCTCCCCGTAACTCCTCTCAATTACCCCCTCAGCCTCCCAAATGATCCGAAGTTCATCCAGCTCCAGCTCCAGTTCCCTAACACGGTTTCCGAGGAGCTGGAGTTGGGTGCACTTCCCGCAGATGAAGTCAGTGGGGACACTAGTGGTGACCCTTACCTCCCACATTCTACAGGAGGAGCATACAACTGCCCTAACATCCATTCCCACTGTTCTGAGTTCCCAAACAGACAAATTAAAAAAAAAAAAAAATACTAGCAGCCTTACCAAATCAGCGCTCAGAACCTTTTTTTTTGGTTAGAGGAGGAGGATGGGTGGGAGACACTACCTAGGCAGTGTTTCGGGTAAAGCAACCGCCCAAATATATTACCTCACTTACTCCAAAAATGGAGTCACGCGAGGTAAGACTTTTATAACCGAAAAGCTCACCTTCCCAGGCTGCCCTCGCGCTTCCTCCCGGACTCCCGCCGCTGAAACAACTGGGCACAAATTTTCAGATGGCAGGGTTTCCCATCTTGCCACTTGAACAATTAGGAGGGAATTGTCTAAGGTCAGTGTCCCTGTGAGGTGAGTGGGCAAGGGAGGGAGTTAATGGCCAGCTTTAAGAGGGTGTGATGGCTGGAGGGGAAGGAATTTGAGAGGGATATCAGCTGGTTGACAGTTGGTCCCACAGATGGATACATGTGAACCCCCAAAGAAAGTAACCTTCCCCTATTACCAACTTCAGCTCACACGGCTGATTGGCATGGGCCACTCCTGCCATGGGTGAAATAGCAGTGGGACAGGATGAGGCTCTTTATTGGCCATTAGTTGATGAATTACTGTGCTTATTGGGTGCAAGTAGGAACATATTAGGGCATGCAGGCAGCCCCCACACTGCATTTCACCAGCTACACAACTTCTCCCTGCTCTAAGGCAACTGTAAAATATCACTCCATATGTTAACAACAAATAGAAGTAGTGCAACACTGAAGGTTAAATGTAATAAATAGGATCTATTCTGGTTTGTGGAGTTGAAGAGAGTTATTTCTAGAAAACATGATTAAGTGATGAGTTGAACTGCTGAATTTCTACAATTCTAAAATGGACAAATGCAGTCGGTTCTATAAACAGCTAATTTTCATAATAAAAGAAACTTTCCAAAAAAAAAAGGTGTTCGTCAACTTCAACTTTAAAAATGTATCTATATGTATACGAAATTAACTTACCCCTTCATCACTGGATGAATGCAGCAGAAGAGATGAAATGCTTGGTTCTAGAAGCTGTATTTGGAAATTAAGGATCAGATACAAAATATGGTCAGATATGTGTACATACTGGATTTTATATATTCAAAAATGAAGAAAATCTTTACTTGGACGCCACCAGCACTAGGTAAGTTGCTAAATGCTAGCTGTTACAATTCTGAATATTCTACAGCTTGCTTCACCCAACAAAACGGATCTAATTGCAATACTGATATATGCAGGCCTATTTTCTGAACTTAGCTCAATTCCATATGTATAATGTTTACATTTACTTCCAAAGACAACCTCAATTACCAGTAAGAGTTCCCATTACAATCAGAAAAGTCAGCAAAACTGATATCTGCTCAATTTTCTCAAAGGCACTGAAATCATGTCGAACCCTTTTACCTGCCACAATTGCACTAATTCTGTCTGGTATTACTCTTGAAGAGAATTAAAATATTAATACAGTATGGTATTTAGGATTATGCTCACAAACAAACTTTGTTTGCCCTAGTCAAATAGAACTACAAAGGCACAGAAAAAACTCACAAACAAAATCTTCAGCCAAATATTTTAGGAAAGTGTCTTAAAGTCCTGGTATAAAAGTGCATAAAAATAATAAAAGTATAATTACTTTAGGGATGCTATGTATGTACTATCATAAATTGATTTCTGTGGGGTATGATGCAATTACATTACAAAGGAAATGTTTAGAAAGAACACTGTTAACTGAGTATATATCTTTGGGCAAAGTTGAATAATCTATTTGAAGTTTTAAAGTTTTGCTGAACATTCTATTCTAAATATTATGTTTGATATTCACCATTTCCTCATTACACTTTTTTAAATTACAATCCATGTACTAGTAAACATTAAGAAACATTACTTAATGAACCTCACCCTTATTGGCCAAATTATTCAGCAGGAAAGCCTTCATTTCCTGATTTAGTTATTCTGAATTAAAATTTATCAAAATATAGCAACTGCACCTTAGTTCAACATCCTTAATGAGCAGTTTCGTAGGGCAAAGTGTTACCAAATTGGTGTGAACTGAAAGGAGATTTGACAATGTGGTGGTAAGCAATATTTCCTAATGGCCTATATACAGCGGCTGTTGAAATGCTTACAAATAATATTGTCCAATTGAGTACATATTATCACTCATGAATAAAAGAGGTCTTGGATCATCTCACCCTCTTAGCAAAAATAAACCAATATTTGAAGAAATAAAACAAAGAAGTCCAAATAAGAGGCAACTTGAACTTCATGACAAAATGTTTCGACTCTTAATAAAATAACTTTCAAGCCAGTCTAAGATTTAATTGTTTTAGAAAGTTGCATGTCAAGGTAGCCAGTTCTAATATCACATACATCAATCTGACTTTCATCTGATCAGTAACATTGCACGAAATTAACAGGAATCAAGCAATGAACAGAAATCAAAGATCTTTAAAGAAAGGATTTCTGTCTATAATTTCCAAATGTCCTCATCTCTGTTACCAAGCAACCTCTTTTCACTGAAGAACTGGGCTGGGCAGAACTTGAGACTGCTCTATGGCTGCCATTAGTGCTACTCTGATTAGTCAGTTTGTTTTCCTTCTTTTCTCATACAATCATAGAATGCCTACAGTGTGGAAACAGGCCATTCGGCCCACACCAACCCTCCAAAAAGCATCCCACCCAGAACCATCCCCCACCCTCTCCCTGTAACACTGCATTTCCCATGGCTAACACAACTAATCTACACATCCCTTAACACTATGGGCAATTTAACGTGGCCAATCCACCCACTGGACTATGGGAGGAAACCAGGGCATCCGCCAGAAACCCACGCACAGGGAGAATGTGAAAACTCTGCACAGACAGGTGCCCGAGGATGGAATTGAACCCAGGACCCTGGCGCTGTGAGTCAGTAGTGCTAACTACTGAACCACCGTGCCACCCAGGAAAAATGCATTACACTATAACAAGGTGCTTAATTAAGCTGTTTACTGAGAACTGACTGCACATATCTCCAGTCTTCACATTCAGCTCCAGAAGTAAATTGCCAAAAACAAACCTTCAACCCTTGATACATAATTTCAGTCTTTGTAGACTCCAGCAGGAAGTGTATAATAAACAAATTTTTCTTCAATAAAGAAATCTAGTAGTCTTTTGAGGTAATATTTCAGCACTGAATTATGCTTTGTCACACTTAGTGGATAATCTGGAAACCAGAACTGAATAACTGTTACCTTGATTTTTACAGTACTATGGGGCAGGTCTGGATACCGCAGAAACACTTCCAACTGCATTTTTGTAAGGGGTGTCATCACAGACTGGGCACATTGACGGCAGTAAAATGATTCACTATGACAAGAATAATATGATTTTTAAAACATGCAAGTAAAATGATTTCCTAAAAGCTGAGAATTAATATTTGAATACAGCATAATGATTGCACAATCTTGGAAAAGTACAGTGAATCACAAGAATGGACATTCAGCCTGGACTTCTCTATTGACAGTTGTCTGATTTTACCAGATCCACCAGGGGGTTAAATAAGTGGTACTCAACGGATTAACTTTTGCAAAGGTAAGGAAGGATAAGTTACCAAGTCCACACTCTCTTACCCACTAGTGACCAGAGACTTATCAGTATCAATAACGGCCTCAAACCAGGTTACAGCACAAATTCATTGTAAACATTTGTACCGATATATTATCAGAGATTTAGGTATTAATTAGTTGGATATTTGTTTGGTCAGGAAATTCTATACAATATAGGAGACGCTATACAAAGCAACAAAAGTAACCAAGACAATGTTTTTTTCTAATGCTGCTGCGATGTAGGTATGTGTGGCAATTACACAGAAAGGTTCCATAAATATCAATAAATCAAATTCCCAAATTAATTGTTTTGGTGGTACTGCATGAGGGATGGATATTAATCAGGATGTTGGGACAATTTCCTTGGTTTTCTTAGAATGGTGTTCTGGGACTTTGTACTTTCACCTGGAAAGACAAATGGGACATTAGCTTGGAGTCCTATCCAGAACAGCATCTTCAAAAGTACAACACTTTCTCAATTACTGCATCAAAATGCATGCCTAGGTTAAATGCTCATGCTTCTAGAAATGGGATTTAAACTGACAGCCTTCTGATTAAAAGGCATTAACCCAAGTCTGATGCTAGGAAATAATTTTTGAGCATTGCTTCTGCGGCTGCAAATGTTTGCCACCTACATTTGCATATCTATGACCAAAGATGGGGGACAAAAAATAAATTATAACTTACCTGAATAATTACAATAGAGTTTAGTGCAGATTTTCTGCTCATTGCTCCCTCACTAAGTGTCATCTATTTTCTCCCAGATCACCAGCCTGACATTGGCTCTTGACTGCTGCTTCACTGTATCCTACGTCCAACTAACTCTCCCATCTGTTTCCGTGGGTTGCACTACCAAAAGAGGTCTGACCACCATTCATTCTTTGTTCAGCCAATTTTTCCTGCTCCTTAGCTTGTAAGCAACACTGTGGTATTTTAGTAGTGTCACCTTAATAACTCAATGTTGTTCACTTTATTTGTGGGGAACATTGCTGATATTCCAAATACGGTTTTAATTTTTATGAATACAGAAATCCATTGATTTTGAATAACAGATGCAGTCTATCAAACAATCTTTTTAAAAAATGTTATCATTCATATCTTTGAAAAAGATTATGGTGAATCACCTTGAATGGCTTCAATCATTGTCATATTGGTGCAATCATGTCATTGTTAACTGTTTCAGGACAATGTGCAACTTAGAGGAGGAACTTTGGGTGAATGAGGGAACTTAGCAGGGAATTGAATGTTAGCATATTCAACTTGAAATATTAATTCTGTCTTATTTTCTCCACAAATGCTGCTAGACCTGTTAAAATACTTTCTGCTTTTATTTCAGATCTCCAGCATTTACAATGTTTCACTTTTATCCAATTAGATCTAACATGCTCAAAGGTATAAGGCATATTAAAGAAAAATAGTGCTGTTTCCCATTAAAATTTTGTCTCAGATTTACACATACTGACCCTTCTCCATGCTTCTTTTCCAGTTTTCCATTTCCACATCTGTTGCAAACTATCCATGAAAAAGCATTAGCCTCATCAACACCAACAACAGTCCCTGATAAGCAAAAGAAACCTCTTGTTTATAGGCATACTATCAAGTCAAAATGAACATAACATCTGAACAAAAGTTTGCACAAAATGTATGGATTAAGTGAAATTGAACACAAGTAATTAGAAAGAATGTCATTGGTATCACTTTTAAACAGCTAGCCATAATTATTCATTGATCTCCTGTAGCACAGCTCACAGACAAAATTGCAAATAATTTCTTAACTACATGTAAACCGTCAGTAAAGAAGAAGTTGAAGATGATAGGGCGAGGACACTACCCGGAAGAATCCTGCAATAATGTCCTGTGGTTGAAACAAGTGGCCCCCAACAACGACAGATATTTTCGAACGGACCTGTCCAGAGACGTTATTACACATCTCTGAAGCAGATGGGACTTGAACCTGGGTCTCCTGATTCAGAGGTACAAACACTACCATGACAGCCCAAGAACTCCCGCTCAAAAATCACAATTATCTTCCTTTAATATCATTAACCTGTAGCCTGTTTTCTCCCTAATTCCGAATGATTTCAACTTCAGTATGGTTTCTTAATGGCACACTGTGTCAAATGCGGCCTTGATGCCAAGGCTCAGTTTTGGATATTGAGCTATGTTTGAATCATGGCTGTAATGTTAGCAAAACCCAAACTAAGCACTGGTGAACAAGTTATTGGAATCTAATAACATCTAATAACAGACAATAACAGCTTCCACTAATTTGCTAACAGCTGGGAGTGGAATCATAGGCCAGTAATTGGCCAGTTCAGATTTCCTTATTTTGGCGTGGATATCAGTGCTGTTGCTCTATTGGAACACCTTGGCTAGGATTGCAGCTAGTTTTGGCGGACAAGCCTTCAGTACTACAGCTAGGATTTTGTTAGGAATTTTGCTGTATCCAGTATGTTTGGTAACTTTATGGATTTCACATGGAGCTGAATTGACTGATAAATTATGAGGGGAATTTACTTTTGAGAACGAATAATTACATGAATGGTTTTCTTTTTAGATTAAACCTTAATATTGAAAACCATTTTTAATTTATGCACTGTATATTTATTCCTGTTTAATACAATTAATGGACCTTCAGTTGCAAGGATCAATTTTAAAGTCTTTGCCTTTGATGATTCAAACTAGAAAAAAGATTTGCCAGCTCATGTGATACCTATTAAAGTCAACACCAGATTCTTATGATCTGAAATATGTGGGAGAATTCATTCCATGTAATAATTGCAGTGCAATGGTAGGAAATTTGAGAGGGTCCTGAGGCAACTCTCCAGTGAGACATGAAAAATAACTTCAATTCTTATATCTACTATATTTATTCGATGATGAACAAGGATAAAATCATTATCAACCAGGTGAGAATCCATCTATATAAAATCAATGATGCTGAGAACACATTCCTACAAGGGACAAATAAATCGTATTACAGCTTGCTTTTGTGTAAACCATTGCCACTACACAAAGTGAATAACCTCATAACAACAGGAGGAATGCTACAATCATTTCACAAGGGGCTGATTTTGTCTCTGGAAAGTCCAGAGTAACTGTTTAAAACAATTCATGGTGAGAACGATGTCTGTGCAGAATATTCTGTGAATAAAGAGATTTTAATCTTGCCCTTTCTTCGTATAGTTGAAAACATTTATAATTCTTAAGTATTGAGAAAGCATGACATACTGATTATCACAAGGTCAGCCAAGTGGACCTCACAGAATGAGTTCCCTGACTGGGGCTGTTAATCTGGTCCAATCAGAGAGCTCTGACTGACAGAAAGGAATATGAGTGTCAGACATCCTGTTCACTCTAGAGCTGGATCATTGTCAAGGTCTATGTATCTAAAGGGTGACTTGTTAATGGGATACCAGCCTCTGTGGACGTATTTCAGTGGTGATGAGAGAAAAGCACGCGCCTGAAGAAATTCGTTCTCAGAAGTCGTCTTTGAGTTGGAGTAAGCATTTCTGGTATTATGCTTTTATTTGGGAAGGTTAACACGTTTGATGCTGCCATTGAAGTGGGCCCAATATGTGGAAAGAATGAGTTATTTTTTCCAGGCAAATGACACTGGGGGAGATGAAAAGCAACAAGTAATTCTCCTGACAGCTTGTGCATCTGCAGGTTTTTTTGGTTATTAGGAGCCTAACTTTCTCTGAGGCATCAGATTCTAAAACCTTTCAAGAATTGATGGATTTAGTTTGGGAATATTATGATCCCAAGCCTCCTTTAATTGAGATGCCATTGGTTTTAGTTGGAAATTCGAAAACTAGGGGAAACCTTTTTGGGATTTTTGATGAGGTAAGACAATAGACAGAAGTATTTGACTTTGATTTAACCCTTAAAGAGATGCCGAGAGACTGTTTGGTATGTGGGATTCATGATCTAACCATGCAAAAGTGCTTAACAGCTGAAGCCCAACTGGACTTCAAACAGGCACTACAACTGGCTCTTTCATTGGAAAATGGGGCAAGTGTGCTCATTAGTTGCAGGCCATTTCAATGGATGTGGACACCCTTGCCAGTCTGACTGAGCTCGAGGAACACTAGCTGAGTAAAGGCAATTGTACAGCCTCAGTCAGGACATGTCCTGAACAGAGAGACACTAAGTCAGCCCACAGCAAATCCCCAAAACGCAGCCAAGCCTTGGCCAAATGGTTAAAATATTCTTCAAGCATTGTAGTTGCTGCCAGTATGTGGACTCGAGACAGCAAAAGAATCCCACTAGACTTAAATTGAGTAAGACAACTCATGGGCCGGTATCCAAGAGACTGCATACCCTGGAATGTCCACTTATATCTGGTTTGGAACAGTTAAATTGCTTACAACATCCAAATCAGAACAAATCAAAATAAACATCAGGGCAAATGGTCACCCAGTTCTGATAGAGATTGATATCGGCATGGCTGTATCAGTGATTGCAGAACTAATCTTTAACAAAATTTGCTCTGGACTCCAACCTCTAAGTTGCACAAAACCTCGGCTAGACTGAGAACCTATACTGGGGAACCTCTACAAATTAAGGGTGCAACTTCAGTTCCGGTCTCTTATAGAGAAACTCTTTGTTCAGTTACCACTGATGTCGTAAAAGGCTCGGGCCCAAGCTTGATGGGGCAAACTTGGTTGAGAAAGATTCACCTAGTTTAGTTCAACATTTTTCAATTACAAAATGGCTGCCTAATTGAAGTCCTAATTAAATACCTTAAGTTTTTCCAGGAAGGTCTAGATACTACCAAAGGAGCCAAAGCCATCTTGCATTTTAACCAGGAAGCAATTCCACGATTCTGCAAAGCCCATCCCAGTGGCATTTGGCTTACAGGGAAAAGCAGAGGCAGAAAGCAGAAAGCTGGAAAGCGAAGGAATCTTCAAACCAGTCCAGTTTGAGGAATGGGCAGCACCGGTTGGGGTCAGTTCATCCGTGTGGGGATTTTAAACACACGGTCAACAGGTTTTCGCAGTTGCATAAATATCCAATCCCTCGCACAGACGATTTATACACAAAGCTAGCAGGGAGGCGGTGCTTCATGAAGCTGGACATGAGCAATGTGTACTTGCAATTGCAGTTGGATAAGGATTCCCAGAAGTATGCTACAATTAATACCCATAAGGGTTTGTACCTAGATACCATATGCGGCATCATCAGCCTGTGCAAATTTTCAGTGGACGACGGAGAACATTTTACAAGGTCTACTCTGGTCACCATTTATCTGGATGACGTGCCAATAACAGGGAAGACCAATAAGGAGCACTTAGAGAACTTAGACACAGACCTTGGAGGATTCTCCCAGGCGGGCATATGCCTTAGAAGGGAAAAATGTGTGTTCCAGGCACTCCAAGGGACTTACTTGGGCTACAGAGTTGACAAGATTGGGTTACACCCGTTAGAAGATAACGTGACGGCGACCAAAGGTGCCCTGGCTCCTACGTCAGTACCAGAACTTGGGTCTTTCCTTGGGCCGGTGAATTATTACAAAAAGTTCATACATAAGCTGGCCTCCATCCTGACACCTTTGCACCAACTCTTAAAGGAAATGTTTATGTAGCCAAGCCATAGCTTTCAGGGGAGTGAAGAAACCGCTATCATCCTCTGAGGTGCTGGCACACTATGATCCCAAGTGAGATCCGATATTGATAAGTGATGCTTCCCCTTTGGCACCGGGGTAGTATTAGCTCATAGGCGGTCCAATAGAGAAGAATACCCAACAGCCTATGTATCCAGGACTTTAGCTAATGCAGAGTGTAAATACGCCCAGATAGAGAAGGAAGGTTTGGTGGTCACATTTGAAGTCAGGAAGTTCCACCAATACCTTTTATGGACATAAATTTGTAATAATAACAGATGATAAGGCCCTACTAGGTCTACTTAACAAGGACAAGGCAGTGCTGCCCATAGCTTCAGGCCAAATTCGGTACTGGGCTCTAATACTAAGTGCGTATAACCACAAGTTGCAACATCATCTGGGCGATCAAGTAGCAGATAAGAATGCATTGAGCTGCCTCCCACTGCCAGTGGTACTGCCACTGAAAGAGTCCGTAATGGTTTTAAATTTTCTGGACACACTTCCAGTCACAGCTGACAATATCAAACTTTAGATGTTGAAACATCCAGTGTTGGCAAAACTGAAACAGTTGATGATGATGGGAGAAACCAAAGGGCCATCACAACCAGAATTGAAATCCTTTTGGACCTGGACAAGCCAGATCACAGTAGAGAATGGCATATTATTATGGGGAGCAAGAGTGATTGATCTGAGCACAGGTCGCTACCAGATACTGGCTGAACTCCACCAGCGTCATCCAGGGGTTTCCAAAATGAAGATGTTGATGAGAAGTTGTATTTGGTGGCCAGGATTGGATGCAGACGTAGCCGTGTTGGTGGGGCAGTGCCCAGAGTGCCAACAAGGACAAAAATAATGCCAGCAACTGCCCCACATTTGAGAGAATGGCCGGGTAAACCCTGGACTTGGTTACACGTCAAGTTGCAGGTCCCTTTATGGGGATTTTCTTAGTCATTGTGGATGCCCACTCAAAATGTCTGGATGTGCACAAGAGTTCATTTGTCAAACACAGGATGATACTAAAACCTGTGCTCATCTTCTGCAATACACAGACTCCCAGAAGTATTGGTCACAGAAAATGGGCAATCATTTACCATGGAATTTGAGTATCTCCTAAAGTCAAATGGTATTCGCCATATAAAGACAGCTCCATACCATCCATCATCCAATGGTCTGGCAGAAAGAGCAGTCCAAACTTAAGGCAGACTTAAAGAAACAGCCTATAGCTTCACTAGACACCAAACAGTCCTGGTTCCTATCTGATCATAGGTCCACCCACTGTGCAACTACAGGAATAGCTCCGAAAGAGTTGCTAATGGGGAGAGGATTCCACACCAGGTTACATCTGATCTTCCCAGAGCTTGGTGGGGTGGTGGAATGGTGAAACAACACCAGGAACACGAATGCCGGACACAACACTGCACAAAGTGAGAGAAGGGATGAAGTTTGATGTAGGAACCATGGGAAAGTTCCTGCATGGGTAAGTGGCACAGTCGATGCGAAATCAGGTCCAGTGATGTATAAAAACCAGTTCTGAGGAAGGGTCACTGGACCCGAAATATTAACTCTGATTTTTTTTCCACAGATGTGGGCAGACCTGCTGAGCTTTTCCAGCAACTTCTGTTTTTGTGCCAGTGATGTATAAAGTTTGGGTAGGTGCAATGTCCTGAATAAGCACGTGGACTATATGAAAGCTGCAAGCTTACAAATGATGCAGGAGCAAAACATGCCTGGCTTCTCAACAGCCTTTCGGACTGTTCTGGAACCCGTGGGTTCTCCCTCTCTGTCAAGCATTGAAGATACCTTGGAAACGGAGATGGACATGGCGGAGTTCACTGCCTGGACAGCTGTGCCGCGTGAAAAGGAGATTGAATTTCTTGGGAGACATTCTGGGCCAAGAGGTAAGCTGTTGTGTTTCATGGCACCTGTGTCAGAGGCAGAGTTGGAGGAACCTGGCCCACTGCTAAAACACCCCAGAAGGAGCTACAAAAAAAAACCCAGCATGTGCCCTTGGACTCAGAGGGTTAGGGATGTAGTGGTTGTTACAAGGTCAGCCAGGTGGACCTCATAAATATGAATTCTCAGATGTGGGCTGTTAATCTGGTCCAATCAGGGAGCTCTGGCTGACAGATATCAACAGGAGTGTCAGAGGTTCTGTTCACTCTGAAAGCTGGCTCACTACCAAGGATTCTCCACATGTAAATAAAGGGTGACTTGGTGATGGGATACTGGCCTTAGTGGAGTTATTTCACATGATATTACTGGAAGCACTAAGTCTCAGATAAGACATCAAACAAAGCCATCTGCCTGCTTAGGCAGTTTGAAAGATCCCACGGCATTAATTAAAGCAAGAAGTGCAGTTTTCTGACCAAACATAAAAACAGATCACACGATGCTTTATCTTATTGATGTCTGGAGGTCCTTACAATGTACAAATTGGCTGGCACAATTACCAATGCCATCGTAATTATACTTCAAAACTAATCGATATGTCTTGAAGGTTTACCAAGATCAAGGTTATGTTAACAGGGTACTAGTATTGGTAATACTATTGGGCAGAATCAACAGTGATTTATGAAAGAGCAGAATGAATAAGGCGAAAAATATTCATCTATTGTGCTGGGTTTTCAAAAAGAATTTCAGAAATGGGTCACACAGGAGGCTTTTATTTACACAGAAGTTGGACTTTTGGGATTGAGATTAATATATTGGTGTGAGGTGACCTTAATTAATAGATGGGAAAATAGAGCAGGAATAAACAAATAAGTTTTCGGTTAACAGGCTACGACTAATGGGATACCACAATGATCTGTACTTGGGCCTCAGTTACCTATAAAGTATGTCAGTTACTTAGTTGAGGGTACCAAGTGCAATGTATTCCTATTTGTTCACAGTACAAAGTTGGGACAAAACAATAAGTTTATGAGCAAATGGGCTGCAAAAGAATTTAGGCAGGTTAATTGAAGAGGCAAGAACGTGGCAAATGGGATTTAATGTGGAAAAGTTATGAATATTCTGAGGCACCTCATATACAAATCACAAAAAAGTTAATATGCAGGTACAGCAAACAATTGCAATAAAGGGACTGGTGTTTAAGAATTAAAAAAAAGTCTTACTGTAATTATATCAGCCTTACTGTGACCATACCTGAAGTACATAAGGAAGAATATACTTGTACTTTGAGAAAAGATTAAGACAGCTAGGTCAATATTCTTTAGAGTTTAGAAGAATGAGAAGTATGATCTCATTGAAATAAATAAAACCTAAATAGACTCAACAGGGCAAATGCTGGAGAATACTTTCACTGATTGATGAGGCTTGATCTAGGCTTCACAGTCTCAGAACATGGGACCAGTTCATCATAGATGATTCATCATAGAATCCCTACAGTATGGAAACAGGCCCTTTGGCCCAACAAGTCCACACCGACCCTCATACATCCCATCCAGCCCAATCCCCTACAATCCACCTGATCTACACATCCTTGAACACTATGGGCAATTTAGTATGGCCAAACCACCCAACCTGCACATCTTTGGATTGTGGGAGGAAACTGGAGCACCCGGAGGAAACCCACACAGACACGGGGAGAATGTGCAAACTCCACACAGAGAGTCGCCCGATGGCGGAATCAAACCCGGGTTCCTGGAGCTGTGAGGCAGCAGTGCTAACCACTGAGCCACTGTGCCGTTATGTAGGATTGTGAAGAAAAAGACTGCCTTCAATCAAAGGGTTGTGAATCATTGGGATTTTCTGCCTTATTTGTTGAGTATAGTACAGATAGGTCAACAGATTTTTGAATTCTAAGAGAATCAAGGAATATAGGAATAGTGCAGGAAGGTGATTATGGTAGATCAGTTACTGACTCATTGAATAACAGAGCAGACTCAAAAGTATTTAGCTGGCCTATACCTGCTCCTATTTCGAGGTTACGGTTTGGAGCATTTCAAAGACAAGAAAGTTGCTTTAGGCATTTCCTATAACAATCTGTTCAGAGATGTTATTACACACTTCTGGACCAGGTAGGACTTGAACCCAGACCTCTTGGTTCAGAGGCAGGGATACTGCAATGTGTCACAACAGCCCTAAGAATGGTGCTTAATAATTGCCAGTTTATTTGTTCAATTAGAAACAATTAACATCTAATTACGTCTCTGTTACAGAAGACAAACAAAACTCTTGAAACCTACCAGTTAAATACAGAACAAAAACGAATGTCTGGGAGGCAAGGGTGGAGCTTTTAGACGAGTCATAGAATTTGCCCATTAGTGCACAAAAACAGTATTTGTAAGTCACAACACCCAATATCAGGATTTCAGCTCTATTTAAATTACACCACGGAAAAGGCTTTTATTGTTAGCTCATTGTTCCGGCAATAAGAGTCATCGATTAGGCTTTTAAAAGGAAGGAGAAGCAATGCAAGGGCCTCTTGACGAATAATAACAGGAAATCTAGAGAAGAGTGATTACAAAAACCAAAAGAAACAGCGGATGGTGTAAATCAGGAACAAAAACAAAGTTGCTAGAAAAGCCCAGCAGGTCTGGCAGCATCTGTGAAGGAAAAAACAGAGTTAATGTTTCGGGTCTGGTGACCCTTCCTCAGAACAGAACGTTTTTGTTGTTGTTGAATAGTGATGACAATGCTTGGAAGGAATTTAAGTCACATTTAGAGGGTTTAGGTTGTCTCTAGGGATCGCCTCAGTAACAGCTTACAAACTGAATCGATGCAGTAGTTGTGCTTCTATCTCTGGACTGGGAAGCCTGGGTTCAAATCCCACCTACTCCAGAGGCGTATAATAACATCTCTGAAGAGGTTGGTTATGAAAATATCTACAAATTGAATTCATAGTAAATCTAATTGCAGTGCATATCTTATAAACCGGACTGGTACAGCATCTTGAAACTTTGTCATCCAGAAAAGAAATCTGCACAATTAAGATATTCTGGAGTCAATCTATTTTGTGAGATTTTCTTTTAACTTGCAGTACCTATATTGGAGCACCGATATGAATAAATAACCAAACAAAGAGGTAAAAACACAGGCTCACCTTGGACTGTACACAAAGAATTTACTTTGGTCATAGCACTGAGTTCATTAAGGACAATGTTTCCAGTCAATGAAGAGATTTTCTGATTTTCATCACTTTGCAACACCAATTTGTTGACTGAAAGTACAGTACCCTCAACACACACAATACAGCCTACAGAATAAGAGAAAATGAGACTTTGTATGACAAGATACCACATGCAAACAAAGTAAGTGTTTTGTAGAAAAAAATGAGGGATTTAACAAATAAAATATTCTCGTTTCCACTTTTTACGAAATTGTTATTAGACAAACCTGCAGATGCACAGCTGCTAAATTGAAACATTGAACTAAGATCTTCAGAGTAAACTTGTTAAAGTAAATCTCAGTAGTTCTCTTTCTACTCCTCCTTGTAAGAGATTTTAAATTGAAAAAATGAAGATCTCATAGAAATGCATTGTGTACTGCAGAAAGGAATTAAATTATTCAAGTTACATTAAAGTAAAGTTGCCATAGTCCCAGAGTACAGCTGCTCTTTCATTATAGATTGTTGACTAGTGGTGGTTCAACCCGAGGGTCACCACGCCTCAGGCGAGAGTGAGACTAAGAAGGTTGGATCTTCACAGTAGCCTCATCTGATATTGTTACTGAATCCGTGCTGTTGGCATCACTCTGCAGCTCAAACCAGCTGTCCAGCCAACTGAGCTAACCAACCGCTTAAATCCTTTAAAAGTGTGCTGCTGTACAACACTCTTGTACAGGTTAAACCAGTGTTTAGTTCAGGTTCAGCAAAACCTGCTTGCTCTTAAACTCATGCCCCTATTTATAGGATCCTACATGTTTTATTAGCCAAACCCTAAATCTGCCATGCTGCCTTCAATACTTCATGCACATACATCCCCAAGACATTTGAAGTTTAATAATTTTTCCATAATACACAATGCTACCAAATTTTGGAATTGAGTCTTATACATTCAATGTTTGGTTATTAATATAATCAAAGAGAGCAGGGATTCTAATAATAACACTGGGGAAATCTTATTTATAAATCTTCCTGCAATCTGAAAAACAGCTGTTCATAAATATGTTTTGTTTCCTGTCATTCAGCCAAACTGTCATTCATGTCGTTGTTCCTTTTATTCCACTGGCTCTAACTTTGCCCACAAGTCTGTTGTGTGATACTTCATCGAATATCTTTTGTAAGTTTGTGTATACCACATCAACGACACTACCCTCATCTGTTCCCTCTGTTATCTCATCAAAAAAACTCAGGCATGTTCACTGGACAGATTTTTCCTGAGCAAATCCACACTGACTTTCCTTTCTAAATTTGTATTTGCCCAAGTATATCCTGAATCATCACTTCCAGAATCTCAAAGATTAAACTGACAGGCCTGTGGCCTGTAGATGGTGGGCTTACCTCTTAAAGTAAGTCAGCTAAATCTTCCATATTTCTCTTATCGAATACAGGTGTGACATTTTCCATTCCTCAGTCTTCTGGCAACACCCCGTTAAAAAGGACTGAAAAATTCTCACCAATGTTTTCACAACTTCCAAACTCACTTCCCTCAGCATCCTTAGAAGCATTTCGAGTGGTCCTGGTCCCTTATGAGCTTTAAGCATAACCTAATGTCTTTTCCTTATCAATTTTAAATCCATCAACTGTCTCTATTGTTTCCCCTTTCACCACAAGCAAGGTAGCATCTTCTTCCTTGGTAAAGACGGATGCGAAGTACTCATATACTAACTCACTTATAACAGCCTCCGTGTTTTCCCTGAAGTGAATTCAAGCAACAGACACTAGCATTTACCTGTAACCATGTGGTTTCCAAGAAATATCTTATTTTAAAAACAAAGCCAATGTTTCATTTCTGTGACCTACTGAAAAAAAACAGGTATCGCCACAATCCTTCAAACTCCAGTCCATAAAATTGATGGAATATAAAACATGCTCATAACACAATATCATCATAGAGAAGGATGATGCTTAGGAAGGCTCCCTGGTTTCAAGCTACCTGGAGATTTTCTGGGAGAAGTTTTTGGACCTTGCACAGTTTGCAGCTTACTGAGAGAAGTTAGCAAAAGTCAATGACAGAGAAATCTGCACTGTCAGCAGGATAAAACACTAATTTCATCACTGACTGCATGGAAAGTGGGTGAGGCCCAATCTCATTCGGCATCTTGTGGGGCAGACTGGAGGTTACTTAGTTTGAAGTTAGTTGGAGAATTTGCAGTAAGCCTGACAATATCACATTACATAAGAAAGTAAATAATAGATAAGATTGGAAGTATTTTAAAGCAATCAGAACAAGAAACTGAGGCATGCACAGACAAGCGAGAGAGTGAAGGAAAGTTTTACTTTTGGGGCTGAAGAGAATTCTCTGGGGTACTTTGGCATACTTATGGGTGGCCCCCGTGATGAAGGTTTGCAACATGTTACTATTATTTTTATTTGAGAACTTGGGTGGAGGAAAGTAGAAGAAAAATCGATATAATTTTCAGTTCCGTGAAGGTCTAATGTTTTATTTTTCAATGTCAGAAAGTAATTTTGAACAGTGAATTCAAAACAATTCCAAGAAGTAATTATTTTTAGTTAAATACCAAGCAAATCACCTGGGAAAATAATGCTGATTTACAACATGGAGAGACAGAAAGAGGCATCAAGTTCATTCAGAGAGAAGATGACTAATAATAGGAAGCTCCTGTTGGTAGCAGTCACCAAGCAGTCAGGGCTTTGGACAAGTCAGTGGCATGAACTGTCCAGAAACAGAAGGGATATTGAAAACATCAGTTTAGGGAATTCATGTTAAGTCATAAGTCAGCTGAGTTAGAAGCTTGTTTTAAAGGTCTTGGCTCAGACATAAACTAAAGAAAATCACTTCTTACAAATGCACAGCAGAGATTTTCCAAAATGAAACTGATTGTGGCCACACTAGCTGAGCATGAAGCTTTAACATAGATAGGGATGACTAATGGCAACTAAAAGCTGTGCTATTTTTTGTTATGAGAGGAATTAAAGTTAAAAGTAAGGATGTTCTCCTTCAATTACACAGGGCATTGGTGAGACCACAGCTGGGTAGGTCAGGGGAAACTTACTAGATGGATGAGCTGATAGATGGATGAGCTGGATAGACCAAGCTTTTTTTCACAGGAGCTTAGAATAATCAGGGTAACTTTACTGACGTATATCAGATCTTGAAAGTCTTGACAAGGTCTACATCGAAAGTATGTTTCCTCTTGTGGGTGAATTGTTTAAAAATTAGGGGTAGTTCTTTTAGGCCAGAGATGAAAACTTGTTTTTGCTCAATTTTGCAACTTTGAAATTCTGTGATTTAAAGGGTGGAAGAAGCAGGGTCATTGAATATTTTAAGGTGAAGGTATATAGATTCTTGTTAGGCAAGGGAATCAAAAGTTATTGAGGGTAGATGGAAATGTAGAATTTGAAACACTAACAGGTCAGCCATGATCTTCTTGATAGCAGATTTGAGGACCTACTTCTGCTCCTACTTCCTGTGCTTATACAATGCTTCAGTAAAGGTTGAATGCCTGTAAGGTTATTATTGGGGTAAAATTGTTGAATCTTTCTTTGTGATATTTTTAATGAAATTATTTCAAAAATAGTTGTGTACCACGATACAGTTCATGTTTTACTTTTGTGCAATTAACCTTATGTTCCTTTTTGACGTTGGTTGGCTCGCCGAGCTGGTTTCTTGTTTCGCAAACGTTTCGTTACCATGCTGGGTAACATCCTCAGTGCAGCCTCCGATGAAGCGTTGGTGTGTTCTTCTGCCTGGTCTTTAAACTATGGGGTCCGTTGAGATGGATTGCCTCACTTCCAGTTTTCCTTTGTAGTGGAAGTTTCCATTTCGAAGGAAAACTGGAAGCGAGGCAATCCATCTCAACAGATCCCAGAGTTTAAAAACCAAGCGGAAGAACACACCGACGCTTCATCGGAGGCTGCACTGAGGATGTTACCCAGCATGGTAATGAAACGTCTGCGAAACAAGAAACCAGCTCGGCGAGCCAACCAACCTCAATACCCACAACCTGAGCTACAAATCTACTCCAAAACGTTAGAGACTTATGTTCCTTTGTCAAACATACTTTGGAAATCTTTGTGAATGTGTTCAGTGATTGACTTTGCAGAAACAAAAAGAAAAATAAACCATATGATCTATCAAGCCAGCTTTCACTCTACGATCTGCTTTGTCCATTATTACTGTCAGCTGGAATCACAATATGACATAAGTAAATATCTTTAAGATTTAAGAACTTGTAAAGGATTCTTGGAGAAAGCAGAGAATAAATCAAATATGTAAAGGAATAACCTGTTCACTATATAAGTGCTACTTGATAGTACTAGTGATGACAGCTTCCACCACCTTTCTGATGATCATGAGAACACTAATAGGGCAGTAATTGGGTCGTTTGGATTTGCCAAAAAGATGCTAGTTTTGTAGCTCTACTGGAACAGCTTGCCAAGGGACATGGCTAGCTCTACAGCACATCTTCGGTATTATTGCTAGAATGTTTTCAAGGCCCTGAGCCTGTGCAGTATCTAGTATCTTCAGCTGTTTCTTGATATCACATCAAGTGAATTGACTTGGTTGAAGACTTTTACTTTTGATGCTGGGGGTCTAAGGAGAAGGCCAAAATTCACCCAGCACTTCTGGCTGAAGACAGCAAATGCTTTACCCTTGTCTTTTGTACTGGTGTGGTGGGCTCTCTAATCCTTCTGTTTAATTGTCTACCACCAATCAAGATTGGATGCAACAAGACTGCAGAACTTAGAACTGATCTGTTAGTTGTGGGATTACTAATAATAATTCCTATAGTGCTACCTGTCTCTCCACATTCGCTGCTTATCTAGGTGCCCCTTTCAAATATTATGACCTGGTCCTCACACCACTACTAAGTTAGCTTAAATCTTTTCAAATGGTATTAGAAATTCACCCTGCAAGGAAATTGGTTCCAGCTCTGTTCACTTGCAATCTGTTCAGCCTATACTGATCCCACTTTCCCCAGAACTGGCCCCAATATCCCTAGAACTGAATTGTCCTCCTGTGCCATCTTTCTAGCCATGCATTCAACAGTTCTATCCTCCCATTTCTATGTGGATTTGTGCAGGATCCTGGGTGCAATTCAGGGATTACTACTTTCAAGGTCTGGCTTGCTTGATTCGTAACGAGCTGACCCCTTTTCATTACATCACTGGTGACAGAGCTCTCAGTTGCATTCCCTCTCTCTCTCCCTGAATTTAACCTAATTATCTGTCCTCCTTAAAAACTTACCTTGAAGATAATCTTTTGGACTATACATTTCAATCAACTCTCCAAATTTCTCTCTCATGTGCTGATATTTGTTCATTCTATTTCTTCATGAAATATTCTGGGACATCTTGTGAGGAAATTTCTTTTCAAATTAAATTGCTGTTACACTCATCCAACTTCTTTCCTTTGTATTTTTCTTACTTTCCTATTCTAGCCTTCCCAAAATAATTTAAGTATTTTAATGAAACCGTAGTTTGGTACAACCTTCTCTTTCCACAATACTTTAGTGAAAAAATTGAAACCAAAAAAAATAAATTTGAAGAACACACTGTCAGCCGTTACCTTTCTCGACAATGGCATCCTTGAAGGAAATGTTGCTGGATGTTTCATCATTCAGTGATTTCATAACTTCAGGCCCGACAATGCAACTTGAGGTAACATAGACTGAGAGTGTTTTAGATAATCCAGGATCGTGACCTGCAGACTGCAGTGATGAATCTATCACAAACAGCCAAAAGTCCTTACTTTTTTCATGATTGATAGTTTGCTCCTGTGAAGAAACAACATAGTAGTAAACAATCAATAAATATCCGACAACCCATACGACAATTTGGATTGATATGCAAGAAAGAATATATAGGTTTGCATGTACAACTATGTGGAAGAGGTTGTAAATTAAAGGACAAGGCAAGAAAGCAAGATGGTTATGACAATCAGAGCACAGCAGGAAAGTGCCAAACTAACAGTGCAACAACAGATAATGCCAGAGCTAGCAAAAATAGTATAAAGACCAACTAAAGGCTTTGCTTTTATAGGCTTCAGAAAAAAAAACAGATTTATCAGGTCAAATAGAAATAAATATGGCCTGACAGCCATTACAGATACATGACTGAAAGTTACCTAACATTGGGACCTGACTATCCAATCATACTTGACATTTTGGAAGAACAGGAAGCTAGGAAAGACTGATGCTGTTCTTCTGTTAATTAAGGATAACATTAGTGCAACAGTGAAAGATTACCTTAGTTCTAAAGAGAAAGATTAGGATCTTTTTTGGTAGAGATAAGAATTAGCCAAGGGAAAAAGTCAATTGTGAGAGTATTCATAGACCTCCAAACAGTATCTACAATGTAGAACTGAGGATACACAAAAAATAAATGGGACTCCTAAGAAAGAAATTACAATTACCATGGGAAATTTTAATCTACATATATATTGGAGGAATCAGATCAGCACAGGCAGCATGGAAAATTAGCTCATACAGCATGTTCAGAACAATTTCTTAGAGCAGTAACTTCTGCAGCCACCAGAGATTAGGCTATTCTAGAGCTGAGAGTATGTAATGAGGCAGTATATGTGACCTCACAGTAAAGGAGCCTGAAGGCAGCAGTGTTCATAACATAATGGAATTGTACATTAAGTTTAAGTGAGAGAACAGTCTGTCTGAGACTAGTGTGTTAAATTTACCACATATACTTTAATAATAGGCAATCTCTTGTAGAATTTGGCCCCTAACCCAGCCAAACAATCCAAACTCTCTGTATTTACCACTGGCTCATCATTGAAATCAAACTCATTCTGATGCAAGCCTACTTAATAGAATCATAGAATCATCGTAAATGCTAGTGAGTGTGATTGTCCACCTAGAGTTACCGAATAGCACACCACTGAAGGTACTTGTTCAACACCTCATGTCAGTGCACATCGATGGTGACGTCAAGAGCATCAACTCACTGGTGTGAATTGCAAACTGTGTCAATGAAAATTGCCAAAATGGACACTCTGGATGCAATTTTCCAACGTTTTTTCTAAGTGAAGGAACAAATTTGTTAGGTGGTAACTAACACTATCCCTGCTGCTGGGATAACTCACCCCATCGCCCGTCCATCAGCTCATAAAGAGCAGACAGGCAGATGAAACCATTTATCTTGTGCTATCAGAGGTCTTGAAATTTATCTTGCAGGGCTGGTGGCTTCTGGGTCCTAAAATGTACTGGTTGAGATCTGCTCCTCAGGGGATCCAGCAGCGAGAAGATAAGTTGTTTTTATCTTCTTGTCACCAAGTTAAGATCACAGGGTGAGTGGTGAAAGTAGAGCTGGCTTTCAGAGGCCACACTCTTTCCCCTATCCGTGCCTCAAATTGGAGTAGTAGGAGGTTTCCTCACCTGCCAGTGAGCAGGGTACCACGGTTTCCCAGTCAGGAAGCTTGACACATTTCTCAACCACTGGGAAGGCAGACGACCATTAAGTGAAAGTCCCCATTGGATCTTCTCACCCAGATCTTCAACAATGAAATGACAAGAAAGGAGTGAGTTTCTTACTAAGGCCAACCCATCCCATTATTTTCTTTGCTTGACACCTCCCAGAAGGGGAAGATCTGCTCTCAGTTTCCTAAGATTCTATTTGAATCTTTGCCCTGAAATATGCATGAAAATTAGGCATTGCAAAGTTTACAGTCAACTGTGGATTATATATCAGGTTTACAAAGTGAAACAATTTTGCACTGTGACAGAAGACCAAGATTTCAGAGTCTCCGAGCAGAACATTATAATAGGTCTACTGCATTTCAACAGTTTATAATGAAACATTGGTCAAAGAACGGATACAGATTGGAACATGGGTGAGACACTGATGAATTTTGACATAGCACCTAACCAAACAATAAGCCCGTCATCGGCAATTACTTGCTAACAATATGATTGTCCGCCTAGGAAATTCCAAGTCATTGGCAGTGGTTCTGTGGATCTTTGCACGGCTAATGAGCCTGAACATAGAGCCACATCTCAAACCAGACATTTGGTCAGTGTTTCTAGGCAGAGGAAGTAGTGCTTGGCATAAAGATTGCTGGCATTCCTTTCTCCAGTTCTCTTTCCATCGTTCCTCTTGCTGATGGGTGTTCTCAAAGAATTGAGTCCATTCAGAAAGGAGTTACTTCCAAGTTGGTTTCTTCTGAACGAGGGTGTCCTAGGCATTTGCATCTATTTTGCTTTTCTTAAGGGGAGCCTTCATGGAGTCTTTGAAACACATCCTTTTTCTTCTTCTCATTTGAGTGCTTTCTTTGAACTGGATGAAGAAGATTGGCCTTGGTAGTCTGAACTCAGGCTCCTAAACACATGGCTAACCCAGTGGAGTTTTTTTCAGATGTTCATGGCCTTGATGCTGATGCTATTAGCTGCTTCAAGGGCACTGATATTAGTATCATTGTCCTCCCAGCTGATGCAGAAAGTCCATCTCAAATAGCGTTGACAATACATCTGAACAGTTTTGAGATGGCATCTATGCACAGTCCAAATTTGGGAACCGCATACAGGAGAGTTGGAAGGATGACTGCCTTATACACATGGATCTTGATATCAGTGTGGACATCATGATCTTTGAAGACTCTCATCTTTAGGCATCACTGAAAGATTGAATGCGATGTCGACGCTCTGCACCGGTCAGCCTTAGATGAGAGGCACAAAAACAGAAGTTGCTGCAGAAGCTCAGCAGGTCGAGCAGAATCTGTGAAGAAAAAAAATATCCAAGTTAACATTTCGGGTCTAGTGACCCTTCCTCAGAACTGAGAAAGGGAAATCTTCCATGTTTGGGAGGACTTCTCCATTGATGGATTAGAACTTGACTTGAGATGGATTTGAGTATTTTTGGAATTGAGGCTGAGACCAATGATTTGGAATGCTTCCGTGAAGGAATTAGGCAAGGTTTGTAAATTCTCTTCTCAGACAGCAGAGATGACATTGTTATCTGCTTACTGAAATTCCACAAGTGAGATCTGTGTTGTTTTCTTCTTAAGATTTCAACAGGTTGAGGTTGAAAAGTTTTCCATCCTTCTTGTAGACAATATCCTGACCACTGGGAAGCTTGTTCTTGACGAGAAGAAGAATGGTGGTGACGAGGATGGACAAAAAGGATGTTAGTGAAGATACATCACTGCTTGACTCCTGTCTTGACCTCAAAGTAATCCATCATATTACCTTCAGTGAGGACCGTCACCAACATCTTGTTGCAGACAGAGGATGTTGATGAATTTCACTCGAGAGCTAACTGCTGACAGTGTCTTCCATAACATTTTCCAATTGATTGAGTCAAAAAACTTGGTCAGATAAGTGAAGGCCATATAGAGCGGTAGATGTTGTTTCTGGCGCTTCTCTTAGAGTTGCCAATATGTGAAAATCATGTCCACAATCACACAATTTTGCTGAAGCCACACTGGTTTCAGGAGAATTTCCTCAGAGACTGGAGAAAGCGCCTAGAGGAGATTCAGGGGATGATCTTCCCGGCAATGGAGCGTAGGGAGATTCCTTGGTTACCACAGTCCGTTTTGTCTTCTTTCTCGAAAAAGGTGGGGATTACAGCATCACTGAGATTCGCAGGGATTTCTTCATTGCCCCAGGATTTCAAGTACAGTTGATGGATATGATAGGCTCTGCTTCTCCAAGTTGAAAATCATTACTAGAATCTGTCTGCTCCTGCAGCTTTTCCATTCTTCATGTGTTTAGTGGTGGCTTCACTTCTGCCACACTAGATGGGAGTCCAAGATCAGCTTTGATGGGAAGTTGGGAGATTTCTTCAAACATGTCCTCGATGATTGTATCATGGTTTAGGAGTTCACTTAAATGCCCACTTCATTGGAATCTGATATTTTCTCTGTCTCTCAAAAGAGTTCTATTCTTACTTGCATCGGTTTAAGGCCAAGGGTATGGGTCCATATATTGTACTGGTGTCACTGAAGAAATCCTGGGTGATGTGCTTGTCAGCAAGAAGTTGCAGCTCCATAGCTTTCTCAGTCCACTCTTGGTTCGTAATTTCCTTCATTCTTCTTTGTAACTCTGCTTTTGCTGTTTGAGTTCTTCGCTTTGGCGCTTTGCCAGGCATGGAGCGCTTTCTTCTTCTTGAGGATGAGGTCTTGGACAACGTAGTCATTTTCATCAAACCCGTCTTGGTTGTGTCACTGATTGTTTCTTCACAGCATGAGATGATGGCTGTCTTCAGCTCTTTCCAAATTTCTTCCACTCCAAAAAAATGAAGTCTTTGGAGACTTTGATGGAAATATTGTTGGAGGTTCATTAGTCTGCTTGCACTTGAAGCTGCTCAAGGTTGAACTGTTTTCTGAACTGTTTCTTCATCTTTCCCAGCTGTTTCTGGTGGAATTTGATGGACATTACAGAGGATAAGCCATGGTCTGACCAGCAGTCATTTGCACTGACCATCGCTTTGGTAATGAGGATAGTCTTTTGGTGTCAGGATTAAATGGTGTCCCAGTTCTTAGATCTTGGGTGCAATTCTGGCTCCTTCCTTCCCAATAGTTCCTTTCTAGAGGTGTCTGTCCTATACAACCTTGGTGTTTAAGTCCCTAAGGATGATAATCTTATCTAGGGCTTTCGGTGAGTATGGTATCCAGGGTTAAGTAGAAACCTTCCTTGAACTCATGAATGGCATCAAGGGTTGGAGCATAGACACTCACGACTGTTGCCTTCTAGTTCTTGGCAAGTCGTGGACAGAGAGTTATGAGACGATCATGAATGCTAACAGGAAGCTCAAAGAGTCAGTTGAC